AGGGGACGGTGTGACCAAAACTTTATTTTTTAATTTATATTTTATTCTTTCAAAATCTCTCTCTCTCTCTCTCTCTCTCTCTCTCTCTCTCTCTCACACACACACACACACACACACACATTCTTTGATCATAGCTCCCCTTACTTCTTCTCTCCCTTTCTCTCCCGATTTGCACCCTTCTCCCCAAGCCCCCTCTCACTTTCCTGTCTTTTCTTGGGGCCACTGCATTTAATTAGGATTGCCTGCATGCACATGGGTTGGGAGATACTTCCTTGGATGAGGGTAACATGCCAATGGTTGAGGAATTAACCTCATTGCTGAACTTAATCTACAAATATAGGGGCTGTGCCCGCCTGCCCAAGTCAGGTGTTGTCTCCTCACATACCCACACAATGTGCGAAGCTGACGTTTCTTAAAAGGGATATCCTGGGGCTGTGGTGGACTGAGCTGCTCACCTGTACTTCTGCCAATGTGGTGGTGAACTTGCTTGGCCAGTGTTTGTGCCGCAAGGGTATAATATTTTGGAAACAGACTGAACTAGCCAAGATATAATAAGTTCTAGGCCTGATGATACTAAATAAAAGCATGCCCAGTGGGGGCCTGGAAAACCAGACGGCCTCATTTGAACCTGACTGCATGGCTCTGTAACGGCTATGTGAGTGCTGGCTCATGGTATTCTAAATCTCTTGGCCCAGAGGGCTTCAGTATGAACTTGAATTCTCTTAGTGGCTTTAAAGTTTTCACTCCTTTCAATGGGAAGTTGGAGAGGGAGAATTAAAATTTCTTAAGTTATCATCTGGTTGTAAAAAGGTTAGAAGCCCACACAGATTAAATTATGTGACAATTTCCATTTCTACCTGGGCAGCGTGAGCAATTTGGAGATCATGGAAAAAGAACACTTAGATTTTATACAGGATGTACGTATTCCAACCAAGTACCTTTGATTCCTTCTTTTAATTGTTAAGTGCCTTGGGGGTTTTAGCTTATTGAAAGAATCAGGAAGCAATATGTAAGTGGGCCAAGCTCCAGAAGTCGGGGTGAGAGCAGTAAAGACTTGCATTTCCCTGGCAAACAGGAGGGACAGGAATAAATCACCCATCCTGGTTCTCAGCACAGACTAGCAGATGAACCCAGCAGGGCCTATTGCTGGGAAGGCACAAAAGAGGCCCCTGTGGGAGGTTCTGAGTTGGTTCTTAATAGCTACCAGTGGACGTTTGAGGACACCATTTCAAGTTTACAATTACATTTTTGGCAGCAAAGTCATAAACGACTTAATAAAGGATGTTGCAGACTAAATATGCTTGGAGCTAAGAGTTGGTGTGCGTACCGTTAGATGAGAAAAGCTTTCATAATGACAGGCAGACACCTTGTGAATTAATTTCTCAGCATTCATTCTGTCTGTGGGTATTGCTCTGTGCCCAAGTCGGGGCATAAAACTTAAAGAGCCCGGATGATAAAATGAAAAGTGTTTGAGATGGTGATGCTCAGAGAGTTTGCCCTGGAAGTCTTTGAGTCCAGGAGGGTTCCTCTCCACGGCCAAGTTCATAAGAAGTTGTTATCTCATAGGACTCCAATCATTATTTTAAAGCTGGTTCTAAAAATGTAAGCAGTACTGCCATATGTGACTCTGCAGGGCAACTTTTATTTTTTGTCCTTTAGTGGGGCTTCTCTGTGTATCACTTTAGTTGTTTGCGGGTACGGGATATTTTCTGAAATATTTTTTCTAGTCTAAGTTTTAGATGAAATCAGTTTAGAGAGGATCTAGGAGTAAAAATTCACTTTTGTTTTTTCTTTCTGGTTTCAGAAAATGGAAAGGATGGTTTAGCACTGTGGTGAAGACCACTTAACATGCTCACATCTCTTTTAAATTCCAAGCTAAAAGTCGCTAGATAAGAATGAGATAGTGAGTCAGACTCTTGACTCTTATAGTTTGGTGATGTGTGGGCACCAGTCACTGGAAACAAGAACTGTTCGGTTGACACACCCAGGTCATCACAGTGTGCATTAGATGAGTGTACACATACAGGTGTGCATGCATGCTTTCACAGTTTCAAACAAAATTTTGTCACACACAGACAGAAATTCCTCAAAGTACCCTGGTCTTGAGTCTCAAATATGTGTTGACAGCGAGGACACACACTTCTTGAGAAATGTGTTGCTGTGTGGCCGTCACAGAATGTACTTATACAAACTCAGACGGGAGAGCCCACTGCACTTCCAGAGTACAGAGCGGAGTCCACAGTTTCTAACATGACTGTAGTGAGTACTTTTGGGAACTGTGACCCAATGGCACTTGTATATCTAAACACATGGAAACATAGGAAAAGCACTCTAAAAAACCAGGCAGTAGAATGTCTCGGAGCCACCATATCTTTGAAGACCACTGTCACACACGTAACCACGGTTCCTGTTGACGGACAGAAGTGTTGCTACGTGCCTTTGGCAGCTGTGTTTGTGACACGCGGTACCCACAGCTCCCATATTTTATATGTAAGAGTACGGCACATTAATTCAGGCTAAAAAGTCAGAGCAACTTGCCTTTGTGGGGTTGATGACTCTGCTTCAGGAGCTAGATCCTAAAGAAGAGGAATGGGCCTTAGGTTTAGCTTAGCCTAGAGTTCCAAACTTCCCACCAGCATGGAGAGTGACCTTAAGGCCAAGATCCCACATGGGAAGCCTTATCATCTTGGCTCAGGCTGGCTTCCTGGGGAATCTAGGACCCTGGAAGCCAGAGGCAGGGTATTTGGAAGGAAACCAAAGCATACATTTAGGAACTAGGAACACTTGTTTGAAGTCTATGATTAACAGTGCCAACTAAGAGGCTTTTAGGCCTCCCCACTGAGCCTCCCAGCCTTCTCCTCTAGTCCATCTCCATTCCTTCTGTCAGCTTCTGACCTCAGAAACACACTGCCAGGGAACCCCTGTGGCCACACTGGACTGGGACTCAGGTAGTTTCACCATCTTTTCTTGTCTCTCATTACAACCTAGATGCCCAGCAACTGAATGAATAATGGAAATGTGGTAAATTTACGTAAGGGAATGTTATTTAGCTGTTAAAAATGATATCATAGGTAAATGGGTGGAGCTAGAAAAATTCATCCCGAGAGAGGCAACTAGAGCCCAGAAGACAAATGTGTTTTCTCTTATATGTGGATGTTAGCTTTCAAGCCTCCAATCATGTGTGCTACAATCCAAATAGCACAGGTTAGGCACCTAGTCTGGGACTATGGGGGAGGAGAGATCTCCCAAGGGGAAATAGACTATATTGTTATAGAGAGATGACGGGAAACTAGAATATGAGGATTAATTATGGAGAGGAATGGAAGAGAAGGGTAGAGGAGGAAATGTTGGGAGGTACAACTACCTTTAAAGACCATTTGACAACCATATGGAAACTTAGTGCTGTAGAAGCTCCCTAAAATGTATACATAGATTGGAAAAAAATCTAAATAAAGTCATCCAATAATAGGGTAGATAATCTCCCAACTAGACTTTGTATGCCACCAAGTAAAAAACCTCCAGTGCCAGGGTTGGGTTATGTCTTGTTGAGTCTCTGGCTAAAAGGGACCCATGGAACCCTCCAAACACCACAGGCGATTACCAAGTCTAACTGGCTACTCTCTACAACCTGAGAGTAAGGTTCTAATGCTGAAGATAATAATTATATACACCATTGATTACGAACAAGCAAGTGGATGTTCAGCTAGAGGCTTTACCCCTACTGACTAGCATGCAGAGTACTAGGTACCAGAGGAGAAAGGTAATCATCCATATTTTGTATGTGTAATCTCTGTGAGCTACAGAAGTGACCTGCCTTCAAGATATACTGCTGCAATAGTGACACTAATGTCCTGGGAGTCACCAACCACTTTATGCTTTGAGCCTCACTCCACAACAGAACCCATGCCTGACACTGTCCAAGTGGCCAAGAACCTGAGAATAGATAGTTCATGGGCTTAGCGGAAAAGCTAATACTATTATCCTGTTAATGGAACATGAGAAAATAACTCCTAATGACAGGTCGCTACAAACATAAATCTGTGTCTTGCTCAGCCATCATCAGAGAAGCTTTTTTTTTTTTTTTGCCGCATATGGGAATCAGTACAGAAGCCCACAACTGGTCACTGTTCCGAGAATAAGATACCTTGGAGTATGCCGGGATTTATCAAAGCCCTCTCCTCAAAGCTTAGGGGTTTATGTGGAAGAGGAGGCAGAAGATTGCAAGAGCCAGAGGGGATAGATGATGCTAAGGAAATGTTGAATCTAGACACAGCTGACTAATGCCACATGAACTCACAGGGACTGTCAAAGCAGGCCCAGGGCCTTCACAGGTTCAAGCCAGACAGGATCCCAGCATTGAGATGGGGAAGTGAACATAGACTCCCGCTTCTAATCAAGAAGCTGTCTCCAATGATAACCACTAACAAAGGAAAAACTGGGACTCACTAGTAACATTAACCTCACCTCAGGGCAGGCCCCATGCCCTGGAGTAGCTGGCCAACAAGAAATTAACTCACTGTTATTTTTGTACTTTTGTTTCATTTTGCTTTATTTCGGCAATTTTTGTCTCATTCATCTTTTGCTTGTTTATTTTGATTTTCATTTTGTGGGTTTTTTTTTTTTGTGTGTGTGCATGTGTTTCTTTTTGTGTTTGTTCAGTTTTTCAAGACAGGGTTTTTCTGCATAGCCCTGGCTGTCCTGGAACTTGTTTTATAGACCAGGCTAGTCTTGAACTCACAAAGATTCTCCTGCCTCTGTCTCCTGAGTGCTGGCATTAAAGGTGTGCACCACCACCGCCCAGCCTTTTTTTTTTTTTAAGAGAGGAAAGACAAGATTGTAAACATAACATGGGTGAGGATGATCTGGCAGGAATTGAGGGAAGAGAATATATGA